AAAAGACCTCAATTTTTATATATTGATGATGTTAAAATGATTTGGGGTATATTGGGCTAAATAAAAAAGATATTAACATTTTTCCCATTTTTACTTTTTTAAGGTGGCTATTAGAAAATTTAGATTTGTGGATCACTTATTTTTATTTGGCAGTGCTGAGATAAATAAATATATTTATTTTACAGTTGGTCTCAAACTTGTATTTCCTGAGATTCTAATAGAAATATAAGTACACAAAAGGCATGTACTCCACAGCTTTACATTAGGACTACTTTGAATTCTTGACTTCAAGAAAGTGAAAACACAACATATTGACTTTATTTTTGAAAATTTTCAAGAGCAGCCATAAGTATAAATGCCATTTTATAAGAAACAAATTCATTAATAACATTTCCCAGAATTCATATTTTACAGTATAAATTAGCAATTTTTAAAATATAATCTTTTGCCTCATGTGTGTACATAAAGGACCTTTTTTAAAAATATATTTGTCAAAAATTAAAATGGTAAAGACCTATAATAGTGAACTGATGTTACAGACAGTATAGTTTTCTTTTCCTGGTAATGAAATCTGAGTCATATTTTCTTAATGTGTTGCCATTTCTCCAGATGGGCTAAGAATCCTCAGAAAGTAAATGGTGAGTGTAGACAGTCGTCCCATTATGCCTTAAATAGTTAGTGATGTCTAATATGTCTAACTTAACTCTCAGAACTTAACCTAATGTTCCTGAATAGTAGGGAGCCTTAAGATTCATCATAATGGGTTCATTAAGCATTTGTCTATATGAGATGTAAAGTATTCATTAAGTCTTAGAGTGATTTTTAGGCTCTTACTAACGCATCTCCTTAAGTCTGTGTCAGGCTGCCGAAAGACAGCTCTGTACTTCAGGAAAACAGACCAGCAGCAGGTCTCTTCTTCAGAGCTCTTCAAAGAATCGCCTTAACCTCCCTTACTAACTTGTTAGTGTCTGACAACTTTTATTATCGTCATAGCCTGTGATTTTAGCCTCTCTGAGCTACATTTTCCTCATCTCTAAATGGAAGATAAAACCCGGCTATGCTCTGAGTGCCTGGTGTACTGTAAGGACTCAGATCACATCTTGAATGAATGAGGATTATGCCCATCTCAAATAGCACCTCCCAGGCAAAGCTAGTTCACTCCATTTTTCCCTCAGGATTTATTGATTTTAGAAATGTTTCCATTGCCTTTTTAAATAATTTATTTATTTTTACAAAAGAACCAGTGTCAATCTACAGATTCTTGGGAAGCCAGGCCAGTGGGCGGGCCTCTAGGGATGCCAGTAGCCCCCCACTGTCAAAGGCTTAACTTCCCTCTTGAATACACAACCCATCTTGGCTGCCAGGAAGGCACCTCTGCCCTCCTTGGGCCGCCTCATGCTTCTCTCCTGTCTACTGGGTTTGATTGTATATCTTTCTCTTTTACTACAATGTGAGTCCTCATTTTAGTGAGGACAGAGAAACTCATCCTTAAACCCTAGTGCCTGGCACAGAATGAGACTTTAATATCTATTAAATAAATGCATATGTATATGCAGGCCAAGGAATCACCTGAAATGATGTTAAGTATTTCACAAAAGCTAGCCTGGAAAAGTTACGAGTGTACCTCATTCTACTTCTCAGCTGGCTATAAACTAATCACTTGAATTCAGGCCTTTGCTAATTTTCAGCTCATGACATCTCTCTTTTTGTTAACTTTAAAAGACAAACCTGATCTATTTTATCGGCAGGATAACAGGAGAAAGCAGAGAAGATGGAAATTTCTTGAATATGTATCATATGTAAGATTGGCCACATAATCCATACAATGGCCACATAATCCATACAACTTCCCTGTGAAGTAGATATTTTCTACATTTTTACTGTTGATGACACAAGGCCAAGGAGTTTAAATAACTGAGTTTGTAAAGCTGGTGAATGGTAGAGCTGGGGTTTGAACCTAGGTCTAACTTATTAACTTCATCATGATGGAGTCATGCTCTTTGATAGAGAGATGCCTTTTCTATAAAAGCACCTGAGCAGAAAAGTCATGCAGGTGCACAGAGAATGAATGCCTCCCACTGTTGTTTTTCAGTGCCAAAAGCATCCGAGGCCTTGCAGAGTACTCCTTCACACTTCCAGCTCCAACCAAGGAGCCACAGTTCACTCATGTACCTTGTGGAGGAAAGATGGGCAGGAAACCAGGGACAAATAGCCCCACTAACTGAAAAGAGTTGAATAATTGGTTTCCACCAATTTGCCGGCTCTTGCTTTGTAGTCCCCTGTCTTTCCAGCTTTAGAGAAAAGCTGGGAGGACATCACTGAAAACAATAGAACACGGAGTGCTAATTCTCATCCTTACCTTTGGGAAAGGAAACAGCCTGAGATAATGGATGAAAATTGTAAAATCTATGTTAATGTGCTTATCACACAAAGTATGGTTGCTTATAAGCTTGCACATAGATCCATAACTTTTATTTTTGCCTTTTGTTAAAAACGGGACTTGATCTGATGACTGGTTGTCTTTGAGCAACTATGGTTGGCTATAGTCTACTCTGCAAACAACGCGGGAAAATATCCAAATCGGACTTTCTATAGTTCAGCCAGCTAAAGTGTTGATCAAATCCTCTAGGGTAGAAATGAAGAGGTAATTTGTTTTTCTGCTATCTGTACGCAGCTGTCTCTTTACTAGTTTCATGTACTTACGTCATGATTGGCCTTCAGATATTTGGGGTGGAGGAAATTCATCATAATTTCAAATGCTTTTCTTAAATTTTTTTTTTTTATTTTTCTAAGGGACACTTTAAGGTTTTGTCCAAAAATGATTCTGTGACTTGAAGAAAATATATTCCAAAAAAATTGTAATGACATAGTAAATTAAAATTCATGACTTTGTCTCTCAACTTACTCATCTTAGTTTTCTATCATTTTTATTGTACTTTCTATAAAGTTAGAGATAATCCAAACCAATTATTATCTTTAATTAATTGTAACATAACTGGTCTTGTTGGAAGTTTAAATACTATAACATAAAATAAAAACATAATTTGCAAGTATGGCTAACAGTGGCCTTGCTTAACTCAAATAAATGTTTCTTTCCAAAAAAAAATTGCATTGTCTTATGCCCAAATACAACCACTTTGATTATTTTCCCATTTGAAAATTAATTAGGTTACAACAGTGTCTTAGCAAACCCACTATGTATAATCTGGGTAACTACCTCTGAAATTCTGAAATCCATAGTCTGGCTTCAAAAATCAGAAAAGAATTTATATGCAGCTATAAACTTGAAGCACAATGTTGTACTCCTGTTCTTTGGGCCGAAGTAAAAACTAGGATTTTAATTGAGTTTCTCGAATCATATAATGTATGTGTCAAATTCAGGTGGGTTGTGCATGCATGGGTCTTCACAAGGGAGTTTCCACTTTAAAGTTGGCAGGCCTGCTGAAGCACTCCAAATTGCCTTCACCATGAAGTGGTGTGAAGTGCTCCCTGACTCCTTCCCTCTTGGCTGTTGGGAAAAGCTTGAAACCCCAGGCCTGGGATAGGTCTCAGGAAGTACTTGGTAAGCACCTAGGTTCCAGGCAAGACCACCATTCAAGAGAGGTAGAGATTTCAATTGACTTTGCTGTGAATCCCTCAAAGATCACCACCCTGATCTACCAACTAGTTTAACAGTGTCTAGATCAATACATATTTTTGTGTATATCACCAGTGTTCAGAAACATCATCTCACAAAAGTCCTAAATGACTCAAGAGTTAAGAGCTTCTTATATTGAAGTTCATATCAGGGCAATATTCACATGAGATTCACTCTGTATTACTGTGTAGTTTTACTTTTGTGTTTGCTTTAGTAAAAACATTAACAACTATGAAAAATAATTTGAGTTTTAATAAATAAGCTGTGTGAACTGGTAATACTGACAATAGATTATCTTGCAGTACCTTTCCTGAATTTTTAAATCACCTTTTCAAGATTTCCTCAGAAAGATAGGAGGCTCCCTCTAGTGGGAAGTGAGCATTGTAATTGATTGATTTCCCCCAAAGCAGTGTGTATAACTTCATAGGTTTTGTTTGAAGGAAAAGGACCCTCTTCTGACTCTGATAGTTTGGGCTCCATAATATTTGTTTATTTTTCTCTCTGAATTTTGGTAAAGAAAATAACATTGGTTACCAAGCTTATAGGACAGTTGTGAGTTTAGAGTCATGTTGATGAAGTGAATTGCTCCTGTATCAGCAAAGAGATGTGAAGTTACCAATTTGTGCCTAGGCATTAACTTGTTAGAGAATAAAAAATATGTATATGTATATATTTATGAAATATATAAATTCTAATCTTAATTCATAAGCCTTTTACTTTGATAAGTAGGTTAAAGGATTATCTTACCATCTCTTGCCCTCACTTTATAGCTGAGCTTAAGTGACTTGCTCAAGATTACACATTTGAAAGTCGGCTTTGACCTTTGAGTTTCTATTAATTTTTACAGAATGTAAGCTGTATTCGCTTTGGCTTTTCTTACTTTATGAGAAAACAATGACCAAAATCACATGCATTTTTTAGGTAATTTTCTATCTGTCTCATATCATTTCTACTTGAAGCTAAAACTACATCTTTATAGAGTATAATAACTTATATTAAATTTTAATTCTGAATTATCAAGAGAAACTAAAGTTGTACCCAGGGAAGGAAGGAAGTAGCACATTACAAATACAGGTTTTGGTTTTGTAATTAGTAAAGGAAAAGAAAAGATTCTAATAAAATTTAATATTGAGAATGATATATAACCCAAAATGGCCAATAACCACTTCCAGGAAGAATGTTTACAGCAAGTTATAGAAATTTCCCATTTTAAAGCCATACATCATATATTTCACCTATTCCCCATTTATATATTTTTTATCAAAGTGTGTGCTTACTTGCTTTTTGGTAAGTGACAAAGTTAATCTACACTGGAGGAAGAAAAAGAAATAGTTACTAATTTTTTTCCCTTATTTTTTTACAGAAAATGATGTGCTTGCTTTTGGAACATTGGTCAGTACTTCCAATACCTATGATGGGTCTGGTGTTGTGACTGTGGAAACTGACCACCCACTCCTCTGGACCATGGCCATCAAAAACTAACCTGTCGACTGGCATCCATAAATGTGCCTCTGCCTTATCTCATTTCTCAACGGTTCATTGCTCAATAAGAACGATTCACCTGGGTTTGCAGGAATCTAAACCTCTCTAGGGGAAGCCCACTGGGTTTAAAGATGTTAGTGTTTAAATAATACAGGTAACATAAATGGCAGATCTCAATTTTATAGTAGTGGGAAAGATACATGCTAAGAAAGCAAATAAGTTCCATTACATTTGATTGGAACTTAATGGGAATCATTCCACTATACAATTCAGTACTGATTATTCTTCTTATGTTATTAATCATTCCGTTTAGCCTAGAAAATTGTTTTTAATTTGAAGCAGAGATCATTGTTGAGGTTCCTCTTGGGAGTCTAGAACATCCTTAAATGTCTAACAACAAGGGCTACCTCTGAGTACCTTTTAGTATTAGTTTTCTGTATAAGATATATATTATCTTCTACTGAAAAAAAATTCCTTTCAGATTGGGGTTATAAGTGCACCAGGTCACTCTGACCTTATTACTGTCTTTGGCATTGTCTTTTTTAAATAAATCAGGAATCACTGACCTAATTGTCAAATTTAAAAATAGGTAGTTATTATAAGCAAAGAGAAATGATGTGAAAGATTAATGATGATTCATGGAGCCCTACTCACACATTAACCCCCCCAACATCACAACCTAGGTGGAAAAAGCTGTGCAGAGGAAACAAGCATAAATATCAAATTCATTTCTGACATAGCTTAGACTGAAAAACTGTTGGTTCAAAGACCAGAAGTGTACTCACATTACCAGAAAATGAGTTTGTCTATGGGGATACATGAACACCATACACTAAGGAGCCTAACTCCAAAGCCTGCGTTCTCATCCTAGTCTGATATTCACCTAAGTTTCCGGACCCCTTTCGTTAGCTGTAAAATGGAAGGGGTTGGACTGATGGTGTCTGAGGTTCTTTCCCACACTGAAATTCTAAATTTTGACACTTAGCAATCATAGGGCTGATAATACACACAGTTACTGACTTAGCCTAAACAACCTGGTGCATCAAAATGTATTCACCTTTCTTTTGTAAAGAGACCATCTTCTATCTTCTTTCCACCTTTCTCTATGTTTTATGAAACCAACTGTTGACATACAAATCATGATTGAAGGAAAACCTGTCCAATGTGTTTTATGTACACAAATCCCTATGTTGCTATAAGAAAAGTGACAGTAACTGTTTTCTTTTTGGTGCTATGACAATGTGAGACTCACGTTGTCTGTAGAGAATGAAAGAAGCAGTGACCCACGTGACTGTGGCATTTTCGGCACTTGTCGTTACTTTCTGCTTGACTGGAGTTTGAGACTCAGCCATGTTTCCATCTTCAGTTTCTGAAGACTAGTTATATATTCCTTACTCAAAATATATTCATAATATATAAAAGAAGTATATCTATGATTTTAAAATTTTACTACCAAAGAATGCATGTTCTATTTGTCCTGAAAATGTTACCAGTGTTAATAAATGGATACTTATCAAAAAAGAATATAGTTTCCTGAACCTTAGTAAATACTGGGGGACAGGGGATTAAAAAAAAAGCATTGAGGCTTATCTCACACTACCACCTGAGTATCAGGCTGTAGCCATTGGGGGCCCACAGAAGGAGTTCTCTTAAAACATAGGCCACCATTCCCAGTTCCTGCCAGGCTACTGAGGAATTAGGTGCTGGTTTTAACCATACACATGTTGACAGGCCCAAGGGCCTCTTCCATTCTTGTCAAGGGAAGTGCTAACCTTCTCTCCTTTCATACAGCACTAGGTGCTGGTTTTATTACAGTCAGCCCTCCATATCAGTGGGTTCCACATCCATACATTCAGTCAATCCATCATGGATTGAAAATATTTGTAAAGAAAAGAACGGTTGCATCTGTCCTGAACACATACAGACATTTTTCTTGTCATTATTTCCTAAACAATACAGTATAACAGCTGTTAGCATTTATATTGTGTTGGGGATTATAAGTAATCTAAAGATGATGTAACATACACGGGAGGATGTACATAGGTTATATGCAAATACCACATCATTTTATATCAGGGACTTAAGTATCCCATCCACGGATTTTGGTATCTGCAGGTTGGGGGTTGGAGAGGTTGTCCTGGAACCAGTCCTTGCAGATACCAAGGGACAACTATATTTCCCCCCTTCCCATTCCTTAAAACTACCTAAGTGTATCTCTCTTTCTGTGCTACCCCACCGTGGCAGTGAAGTATCCACTTATTTTTATAACAATACAAGGCTGCAGATGGTGAGATCTCAGGTACACCCAGTGAACTATCTGAGCCTCCCAGGAAGTCCATCTTCTCTCGCTCCTGTTCAGTTCAGATCCTGACCTGCAGCGTGTGGCCATAAAAGAGACTGCAGGTTGGGCCCTGCTGGGAAAGTGACAGGTGCTCCTTGACCTTCTGACTCCAGTCACTTTTTATTTCTATGGGTCAGATTTATAGCATTTATAAATGTAGTTATTGTCACCCCCAAATGTCATCAGTCTATCTAAATCACTGATTAGTGAAAACATGCTATGATCTCACTTCTTGTTAGAAAGCAGGGAAAATCTGAAAATGGCTACAGCTATTGCAGCCTGGTTGAAGTCACACATGACCATGCCATGTAATAAGTTATATGTGTGGTTCGAGGAATTGGGGCTAGAGGGGGGCATGGGTGAGAATCACTCAGAGCAAAGAAGAGGTGAACACAGCCTGGGGCATTCATACAGGTAAATGCTCACACTTTTGTGTCACGCTTCTATGTGTGTGGAATGCATTTTGCGTTATGCTTCCGTGTCTGGCGCAGATCTTGCCTACTAGTGCTGCTCAGACTTTTCCACAGCTTTACTTGAACTGTGAAAATAAAGCAGCACATAGATGTGGCGTGATTGCGACTGATGATATATGCCAAGTCAGTACGCAGCAAGAAACTGTTCTTCTCTCCTCTAAGGCTCTGTCAGTATGAGAGGCGTACGGTCAGAATGGTGACTTTCAAACTATATTTACCGTGGCCCACTAGAAATACATCTGGTATACCTTGTGACCCAGTCCATAGACACACGCAAACAAACATGCGTGTACTCCAATAATTTTATTCTTAATTGAAAAACATCCAGAAATATATTCTAGATTGGAAAAAGAGCACCTAAGGGCAGAGCAAAATGCATAAAAGTACCTTTTTTAAAAAGTGTGTGTGTATATTGGCAAGTGTTTTGCACTGAACATTCATTTTTTTTCCATAAATTTAGGACAACAGGAGTGTAATTTTAAAAACTCTTTCCCATCAAAGAATCAAGATATCCCATTATTAAAATATTTTTAAAATATGTTTCAGAATTTAAATGATTTCAATAAATTATTTAAAACTAGCATATTTGAGCAAAAATATATCTGGAGATATTTCACCTTGTTTGCTCACAATTTAACCAAGGTCACACACAGAACATTTTTCCACTCTGTTCTTGGTGTTTGTTTCACTGCCTTTATCACCAAACTAATAATAGTTTCTATTCTTACATGTGTGTTAAGAGGAATAACCTACCAATGACAGCAGGTTCAATGTGATCCTATTTGGGAATAAAACAATCAACACAACTCTCTTAGGAAATGGGCAGGGGTATTCGATTATTTAAATTGTCTTTAGAGCATTCTATTCAAAATAAAATGAATTATCCTTATACCTGCGGAGATTAAAATTGAAGCTACAAGGTCAAGCCTTTCTTGGGAGTCACAGATTCGAAAATTCCTGGCGTGTACAGTACAAGTTTGCCCTTCCTTGCCCACAGCAGATTTCACTTATCAATCATAATTTTCTTTTCTGATGAGCCCCAGCCTGAGCCTCAGAATCTATCTCAAAACAGTTCTCCAGGCAGCCTTGATCAATGAGTCTCCATTGGGTTGGCATCCCTGGAGGCTCACAGCGTGCACAAAACAGCTCTGGGTACGACCCAGGAAAGAGGTCCTGGCAACATCACTCCTCTTCACAAGTCATGGGAAGTAAATAGATCCAAGGACTGTTCTCTAAGTGCTTAATTCTACCGCCAAAAGCAAGGACTTTCTACACAACAAATAAAAACTAACTACATCCCTGCAAATAACTTGAAAAACGTAAGCAAGGCCCTGAGATCGCCGACAGTTGAAAAGTAGGAAATTTCTCACAATGGACCCATAGCTGGTCCCCGAGAACCAAGAAATCTGAGGTGTATACAGAGTCCAGAGGTAGAAAAGTGTTTTTAACTAATAGTCAAAGGAACTGATAAATGTAGGGTGGCAAATCATACCATAACATTTATTTTTTTAAAAAACCCAAAGTCTAGTGAATATTTAATAGCCCATTATATTTTTGAACAATAAACATGGGAAATGATGAGAATAAAATTAGGCAAGAATAGAGCAGAGGTTCATCTGAATGGCATAATTTTGTTAACCATTAAACAGTATGAACCTTCTACTAGAATATGAACCCCTTGAGGTCCTTGACTGTCATCTGCTGTATCTCCTATTTCTAGAGTAGGGCCTTGTCTGTAGCAAGTGAGCAGTGAGTATTTACTCCACTGCTGCAGTAACTAAAGTCCCCACTAATACCCGTGCTGAAGGAACATACTGTACTGCTTCTCTAGTCCCTGACAACTATTGCTGTTTTCTTTCCTTGTTCCCTAACTAACCAAGATTTAAAGTAGATACAGACATTCCCTGACTCACAATGGGGTGACTTAGGATTTTTCAACTTTACAATAGTGTAAAAGCTAGAATTCAGTAGAAATCTTACTTCGAACTTTGACTTTTGATGTAAAATTCTTCATAATAACTTTATTATGATAGGTTTGGGGTTAGATGATTTTGCCCAGCTGTAAGGTAATGTAAGTGTTCTGAGCACGTTTAAGGTAGGTTAGGCTAAGCTATGATGTTTGGTAGTTAGGTGTATTAAGTGCATTTTTGCCTTATGATATTTTCAACTTAGGATGGGTTTATTGGGATTAACCGCGTCATAAGTCAAGAAGCCTCATGTTAATGTTGCCCTTGAATGGGTTCCTCAGTCTGAAAGATAAATAGCCTAAACCTAGTCTGGTTAGATCTGGTTGTATCCTTCCTTGTTCACATATCTGAAGAAGAAAGTGATGTGCCAAGTTCAAGGCCAGGCCTAAAGGCATGGTCCAGGGCAAAACATTCAGCTAGTAACAAAGGAAAAATCAAAAGGCCAAGCAATTTTAAGTTGCTCAAAATGGCTAGCTAAGGGAACATGAAAGCCAGGAGACAAGTAATCAGATAGGCTTAGAATATTAGTGTAAGCTAAAAGAGTCAAAGTAAATACGAAGAGGACATTTATTTTTTATTTTTTTATTATACGGGTTCTTCCTGTGTTGCCCCAATTGGATTCGAACTCCTGGACTCAAGGGATGCTCTTGCCTCAGTCTCCAAAGTAACTAGGATTACAGGCACGTGCCATCATGCCCAGCAAGTGAAGAGCGTGTTTAATTGACTTCATTTAACAGGAAAAATGGAAGAAGTAAGAGGTTAAGAGAAAATTTTCAGAGTTAGAAATCTTGTAGCTGGAGTGATTTCTCGATTTGGAAGTTCAAGGCATGACCATGGCTGTCAAGAGTTGAGGTGGATTCCAGACAAGAGTACATGTGATTTTCA